TTCTTTAAGTTCACAGCAGTACATATTCATATGCATAAAACTCTAAGCTTTAGCCTACAGGTTATTCTATTATCAGGTATCCTGATTATAGGGGAACCAGAGCTCTTAGGCTTATTAGGCATCTACTAGGGAAGAACTTAAATAAGTTCATTATGATCTTCAATCTGTTTAAAAATTTAGGATATCCTACATATCTAAGTTTAATACTACCATGAAGTAGATTTTAAAATGATGAATAAAGGACAGGTTATTTAATAAAGTATAACAACGAATAAGTGTTATCATTTGCCTCTTAATCAAACTTGCATACCTGTAGTTAATTAAAATGCTTTTTTTTCTAATTCATAATGCATCTTTATCTTGTCAAAGCCTCTTCAGGTTTATGCTAATCTCATTGAAATATTTACCTTTATAACTTTCAACTCTTTAAGTTGCCTTTGAAAAAAATGTAAAAAAATTCATCCAATGCTTGTATTGCAACCTTCCTATCACACCCTAGTCTGTTTATTTGTCTTCCTCCACTAGAATGTAAACTCCATAGAGGAAGATACTTCTGTTTTGTTCACTAATGGATATCAAATGCCTAGTTAATGCACTTGGCATGTAATCGGAATAAAGTAAATAAGCTTCTGCTGACTTCATCTTGGCTTGGCCTCTGCTCTCTTTTTTTTCTCTTTCTCTTTCTCTTTCTCCATCTGTTTATTTTACTCTGCATTGGCCTCGCTATCTTAGGAGTTCTCTCTATGGCAGTCCCAGAAACTCCAGGCTTAAAGCATCCATATACAGAGCAATTCCACAGGAATTAGAGTGTCAACTTCAACCAGCAAATTCTCAGTACACATTGATTAGGCTGGATTGTTCACATATCCATTCCTGAGCCAATCATTATGATGAGTTGGGTGTAAGGTTGGAAAATGGAATGCTCTGGTTATCTTGAATGCTACTCAGAACTTGGCCTGAGTAACTCATGGGAAGCATCCCTTGGAAACTATTAGATATGCAGACTTTTGGGCCTCTTTTAAAACTAACAAAATTATAATCTGCAATTTAACAAGATTCCCTGGTGACATGCCTTTATCATGTGCCCACAGGTGAAGCTGGAAAGGTGGGTAGGAGAATGGAGTCACCAAGCCATCATATTGAAAGTGGGGAAGGGATGCTCCTAGCAGAAGGAAGTATGGGTATTGGCATGGGAAACAACAAATATCCACCACCACTACTATACTGGCAGCCATCAGCCTGGCTTGTGGCTGAGCAGAGCTCCTCCCATGTGAGAGCGCCCTGACCACCAGAGGGCAGCTCCTGCATTGAGAGTCTGCCCCCTGGTGGTCAGTGTGTATCATAGTGACCCGTCATTCCCAGTCATTCTGCTGTTAGGGTCAATTTGCATATTACCCTTTTATTATATAGGCTAGTTAACTTTAAATGATAACTTGTTCTCTTGCAAAGAAATGGAAAAATGCTTTTAAATCTTTTAGCAAAGCAATATTTTCATAAATGTAGACCCGAGTAG